ATTTGAAAAGCGATGCGATGAATCTAGAGGATTCAAGATAGCCTACCAACGTGTAATTCGACGTTACCAACCGGCTAATTCAACCAATTCGACCAATTCGGCCAATTCAACTGCTAGAGACGCTTTCTCTACCTATATACCAAAACAACAGGTCGAGACTCTCTTTCGAGAGGAAGATGGTGTTGCGATGAGCACAATCAGGATTCCTACCAAGAAGAACGACACCTGGTGCTATGATACCGGAGCATCAATTCATGTCACGAATAATAGGGACCTACTGTCAAACTATAGGCCCGTTGTGTCCTCTGTCATGGTTGGAAACACCGAAACCACTATCCTTGGTTATGGTGAACTGTCCGTCAAACCATCAGAATCTCTTGATGGAACCACTTTCCCTTTGAAACAAGTTGCCTATTGTCCTGGATTCCACATCAACCTAATCTCTGCAGAGAGAGCTGCTAGCGCAGGCATCTATCTGAATGGCAAGGATTGCCTACTAGAAGAGAAGGACGGAAGACCTATCTGCAAGCTTAACGCGAAATCAGGCATCTACCTAATTCGATGGGACAATTCAACCACTGACCGACCTACTGCCAACCACGCTCATATTTCATCTACCTCTCACTTATCTCTTACTTCTGTCTCACACGATCAAGTTGCACCTATCACTGAGCAATTTAGCAAGGTTACCCTATCTTCACACACCAAGAAGCACCTAGATGGGACAATCGACCTATGGCATAGACGACTAGGACACGTTAGCAAGGACGTCCTATCTCATCTACCAGAGCACTCATCAGGCATCACCATCAAAGATATATCTTTGCCTATCAACCACTGCGAGACATGCAAACTGGCTAATTCGCATCGTTAAATCTCTCGACGACCTATGCAGTACAATCGCCCTTTCGAATCTCTGCATTGGGATCTTATACACTTCGAACCATCCCTAGGCAGAACGACCTACCTATCTCACTCTGTGGACCCTATCACTAAATACCAACTGGCAGAAGATCTAACTACCAAGACCGATTCGACCCAATCTCTCTGCGACCAGATCGATTTCGTACAACACCAATTCAACCTACGCGTCCTCACTATCCATTCAGATGACGAGAGATCTCTATCTGAATTCTTCGATCAAGAAGCACAATCACGTGGTATCTATCTAGAAACCACACCGCCCTACCAACCTGACCAAAACGGCTACGCTGAGCGTTATGGCGCATTGATTTCAAAGATGGCTAGGCAGATGACTATCGATTCAAACCTACCAAGCTATCTCTGGTATGAAGTAGCTAGAACTGCCGTCTATATTCAAAACCGCCTACCTCACCGCACACTAGATTGGCAATCCCCACACGAAGCGCTTGCTACCTACCTCGGTGAAAACGCACCACATTGGCTACAGGCAAAGCCAGATCTCTCACATATTCGAATCTTTGGATGTAAAGCTTATGTACGCATTACTAAGCTACCTAGACTAGCTAAGCTAGCACCACGTGCTGCTATTGGCTATCTAGTAGGTTATGAAGCCTATAACATCTGGCGTATCTGGATACCTACCAAACGACGTGTAATTCGTGCACGAGACGTCCAATTCAACGAGGAAGAATCCTACAATCCTTCGCTACCCAATCAACGCATCCAAATCTATAAGGAGACCAATCTATCTCAGCAGATTGATACTCTTGACGACGAAGAGATCAATCAAATCCTCGAAGACATAGATATCCCATTCAACCAACCGGTGCAGCAAGATCTCGGGGTGTGGAAGTAGTAGTAGTCCTACTATCAACATCGATCACACCACACCTATACCAACAGACGAGATCCTAACAGACGAAATCCTCGGAGATCAACCAATCACACCACCGCTCGACCCAAAATCAGACGAATCGATAGGATCCAGCGAATCAGAACCAGAGGATATAGTCCCTTTCGTCTTAATTGACAACACAAACTTCGACCCTTCTGGTTATGAACCTCTTAATATACCAACTAAACGACCACGGTCAGATTCCGACTCTAGCAACAATGAAAGTGAGAGAAAACGCCCTCACTTATCCCTCACAACCTATCTCCAAGCTTTCGCGTCCAATTAATACCAACAACCAAAGATTGCGATCTCATCAATTCCTCCGCCACCACCTAGCTACCATCAATTAGCTGGTCATCCTTTTGAAAGCCAATTCCGACAAGCTATGCGAATCGAATTTAACAAGCTTCTGGATATGCATGTATTCGAACCTATCAACAAAGATCTCGTCAGATACACACACCAATCGAATTGCAAAGATCTCAACCAATCAGATTGCCCACGCCACCAGCTTATACCAATGAGATGGGTCTTTGCCTATAAATCTGACGAATCAGGTTATCTCACACGCTTCAAAGCGCGTCTATGCGTACGCGGAGATACACAGACACCAGACGAACTAGAAGACCCACGTACTAGTACGCTTGCTGCTAGGACCTTTCGCACGCTTATAGCAATCATCACGCATTTTGACCTAGAGACCTTTCAGATGGATGCCGTCAACGCTTTCCTAAACAGTGATCTCAAAGAGGAAGTGTACTGCCGATACCCACCAGGACTAGGACGAAAGTCAATGGTCCTACGCCTACATAAGGCAGTATATGGTCTTCGAATCGCTAGTAAGAGATGGGAAGACGACGTGAAAGAAATGCTTCTCTCACTAGGCTTTAAAAGCTGTCCTGAAGACCCTGCGCTTTATACTGATAATCGCATGGTTATTATGGTGTTTGTTGACGATTTCCTGGCTGCCTACCACCGAAGTGAGAGATTGCACGCTTACCAGATAAAGCAACTTCTCTCACAGCGCTTTAAGATGAAGGACTGTGGTGAACTTACCCAATTCATCGGTATTCGAATTATACGCGACCGACAGCGACGAAAGACCTGGCTAAACCAATCAGCCTACATTGAAAAGATCGCTGCTAAATTTAACCTCCTAGGCAGGAAACCGCCTAATACACCACTAGTCAGCAATCAACGTCTTGATCCGATCACTGGTCAAATCAACAAATCAACCGTTAAACTATACCAGCAGAAGTGTGGTTCGACCCTTTTCCCTGCTGTGTGGACTAGACCAGACACCGCTTTCGCTAATCAGCTACTAGCTAAATCTCTCACACGCTGTGATGAGAAGCACCTAGCTGCTGTCGACCATCTGATTTCGTACCTATATGGGACTAAAGATCTAGCTATCTGCTTTGGTGGCAGCCAATCAGATAGCCAGATCTTCACTGCTTCGTCCGATGCAAGCTTTGCCGACAATCTTGATAGGAAGTCATCAGAAGGTTTCATCTTCTCATTGTTTGGTGGTCCAATCGAGTGGAAATCTCGCAAGCAGAAGACGATTACCACATCAACCACAGAAGCCGAATTACTAGCTGTATCACATGCAGCTAAACAGCTATACTGGATCAAACGTCTCTTCTCATTCATTGAATTCGACACTAACCAACCAGAAGTGTTGAATTGCGATAACAAACAGACCGTCGACCTATTAAATCGCGAGAAATCAGTCTTTCAGACCAAACTTCGTCACGTGGATATCAACCGCCTATGGATTCGTCAAGAGGTACAGGCAAAGCGCCTATCTGTCCAATGGGTCAAAACCACCGATATGCCCGCAGACGGTCTCACCAAGTGCCTACCTAGGCAGAAGCATACTGAATTCATCAGACAACTAGGTATAGAGATACCACCTCCTATCTAGTTATTCTGTTTCTCCTTTCTCTTATTCAGTTCTCACTTTGCTCTCATTCCGCTCTCACATCGAGAACTGAGGGGGTGTGTCAACATATGGATGTTGTGGGGTCACATGACGAAGGACCCACTCATATAACCCCTCTCTACATATAGATCTTCTTCTATAAAGATCTAACAGATTGATCCTCAACGATCTCGCATATGATTGCCTACCTAAGCAAGAGACTCTCAACACTCTGATTCTGTTGATTTATCATGTGATCCTTTGCTATGTTTCTTGTGATATAAATACTGCTATGTTTCCTAGTTAAATTGAATCAAGTTTATCATCCTTTGTGATCTCTCTTCTAGATCAGTGGTACTCTTCCATAATCGTGGTACTTCTCCTTCATAGAAGTGCGCACGACCGATAGACTCATAACCGTGTATTCAGACACTGTATTGAGTATTTACCAATCCTTATGCACACTATCGTCTTGTGTGTATAACCACGACTTTATGGTCACCGCCTAGAGTCCGACAGATCTTCTTCTATAAAGATCTAACAGATTGATCCTCAACGATCTCGCATATGATTGCCTACCTAAGTAAGAGACTCTTAACACTCTGATTCTGTTGATTTATCATGTGACCTTTTGCTATGTTTCTTGTGATATAAATACTGCTATGTTACCTAGTTAAATTGAATCAAGTTTATCATCCTTTGTGATCTCTCTTCTAGATCAGTGGTACTCTTCTATAATCGTGGTACTTCTCCTTTATAGAAGTGCGCACGACCGATAGACTCATAACCGTGTATTCAGACACTACGTTGAGTATTTACCCTTATGCACACTATCGTCTTGTGTGTATAACCACGACTTTATGGTCACCGCCTAGAGTCCGATAGTTATTATAAGGAAGTAGACTCTTAATTGTATTAGACTACTAGATATCACCCTTTTCCTAAGTATTTATGGTAATTACTAGCTATTTCGTCGATAATAACTAGGAGTATCGCGAGGTCCTTCTTAGATTTAAGCTACTATATAGTCTATATACTGGAAGTAATTTAAGTTCCGTCGTTATTAATATTCTTGAGGAACACTAGATCACCGATCGGATATTATCTATCATGATAGATAATATAACGAATAATAATACTATGATTAATAGTATCTAAGAAGAGATTAAGGTATAAGGGATTGGTGATATAGGGATCTTTCGGATTCTATGTCTCGCCTATGTGATTTAGCTAAGTCTTAATCGATTACTAGGTAAAATGAAGGTAGTACCTATTAATGATGAGACTAAGATTAAGTGGTCGGATAAGCGTGTATACTTATATCCTAAGCGTATAAACAGAGAGATAGTTGATACTCTAAATAAGGTAAGTCTTCCTTCCTCTCTTTTACTACTAGATAACTAACCTCTTACTCTATACCTAGATTCGGAACCTTACTATCTTTATTAATGTAAGCCTATAGCGCCGCGAAGCTTTTTTAGGTCTTTAGATCGAAGAGCCTTATCTACTCCCTATTTAGGATATCCGTACACGATAGAATTCTACCTTTCTAATACTCGGCCGTGTAAAGCGACTATAGGAGGCCTTTAAACGATACTGTTAAACTTATAGATACCCCTAATTCTACCTTAATAAAGAGGAGTAGCGCTAGGTCGACTACCTACTTTGTATCACCTAGCCGTTTTTTAAGTTTACTACTACTCTTTTAAAGTTAAAGGATATCACTATTTATCTTATCTTTAGTATCTATAATAATCTTTTTAGTTACCTTAAGGCCTCCGAAGAGTAGCTTCGCTGGAAGAGGATTCCCTGGAAGTAAACTATGCTTTAAGCACTTTAAGCAGTAACGGAAAAGCTCTTAGAGTACTATAAGATGACTGACTATGAGTGCTATGGTGATATTTACGTAATTGTAACGATCCTGGCACCTTCGAAGAAGCTTCGCTTCTTTAAAACTAAGGATTGGTAAGGTGATGTTGACTACGCTAGACGATACCGTGGTCGATTAGAAGAGGAATTCTAGCGTTATAAGAGACGGCTTTTAGATAATAATAGCCCTCTATTACCTAGGGCTTTAGCTGGTTCACTTAATACCGTGGATGAGATTGAGATGCTTTATGAATCCTAGAATGCTCTTTAACCGGAGGAGCCCTAAGGGAATAATGATGATGAGCTTGATCGCTATCTTGCTAAAGGTAAGCCCCTACCTATGTATAAAGAAACTTCGAGAAATTAAAACTAATAAGCTAGGACTAATATCTTAATATCCTCGTATGTTCTGGAAGGAGTATTAATAAGAGTTTCTAATTCTTGTAGCCCTTATACGGGATATCTTATCTATTCCTGCTAGTGGTGCTGGTGTAGAGCGTCTGTTTAATTGCGCGCGTGATATCTGTCATTATCGACGTGGGTAATTAAAACCGGAGACAGTTAAAGCGCTAATGCTTTATATGTGTGTAATAAAATTTAAGGTTGAATAAAGGGAGATTGATTTCACTAAATAGCTTATTTTAGTTGGGGAGTTAGCTCTTCTTGAATAGGAGAGAGGCTCACTACCACCCCTCCCTTCTCTGGATCCTATTAGTGATAGTGAGGAGGCCGAAGATGAAGATATAGTGACTGAGATTCCCTCTTAGCTATAGCCTTAGGCTTAGAGTGAAAATACTAGACCTAAGAGACCTCGGAGTAGAAGTACTTAATCCTAGGAGAATAAAGTTATGCCTAAACCGGCTAATCTGGAGAATACATAACGACCTAGTCGAGTACGGAAGAAGACTAGAATGCCAGAAGGATTTGAAATTGGAACCCTATAAGTGTATGATAAATCAAAGAAGTGCACTATTATATTAAAAAAGTTGATTTGCGTTAGATACTTTATACTGACTAGATACTAGAAAAATACCAAAAAGACTGCATAAAAAATCATCTGACTAAAAGGTCACGAGGCTTAGCCTGTTTGCTATGTTTATCTAACCATTGGTTAACCAAAACCGCATTGCGGTCTTGAGTTGAAGACCGCAACCAAACTGCAAAAATTTGCGGTCTTCGAGCTAAGACCGCAACCAAACCGCAAAATTTGCGGTCTTGATCTGAAGACCAAAACCAAATGGTTTTGGATATAGTTGCGGTTAACCATGGTCTTTGCGGTTAGCGCCGCAGTCTAACTACGACGTAACATACTGTACGAATAAACTTACATTTCCTATCTTTTATTGAATCTCTATCGAGGATCTATAGAGCTATCTAGAGTAATATAGTAAGTGCAATACTTAAAAATACTAAGAAAAGCGCAAAATTTATGCAAGTGGCAGGATTTTAACTGTTTGCACTGTTTACAGTCCCGTGGGAAGTCCCATACTCCCATGGGAGTCCCACGGCCCTTCTAGTCCCGCTCATGGGACTAAAGCTTAGTCCCAACTCCCGTCCACGGCGGGAAGTCCCAGGTCCCACGGTGGGAGTCCCGTGGGAGATGTCAATGTCTACCTAGAATAGTGTAGTGGCACCGTCTGACTTTGTTAGCGCCGTTTACAAACACATAAATGGCCTGCCCACTCTTTACCCTGTGACAGCCAGTTCTAATTCATCATTCTATTCAAAGATCGCACACCACCAATTTCACTCTCAATATGACGACTACTAGTGCAGGGGATGGTTCACAATCAGAATATCAGATGAGAATGAAGAAAAATTTTCAAGAACCGACCCAGGTTGTTCACGACCTCGGAGCCACCCTCAGACAGATTCGAGATTTGTGGAAGTTGCCGGCGTACTCGTTGAATTAAGCGCCGATACATGTGAGACAGCAACATCACGGAACAGAAAACGAACGAAATTGAGCGAAGTGTGTACCTTGGTATGGCCTGATCGCGTGATTAGACATCATCTTCCGTGGCTGATCAAGACTAGGACCATGCTTTCAAGAAGCTCCGAACCGCACTTGACCATGAAATTACAACATTGCGAGATACAAACCGAAAGCTCCAAGATGAAATTTGTATGGTGAGGGACGAGCATCAAAGGCTACAAGCCAAACTCTCGCAGTTAGGCCAAAAACTCGTCTTAGAGTGCACAGTTTGCTACGAGCAGACAGGGAAATGGGCGGCACTTGCGTGTAGGCACATGTTTTGTTGGTCGTGCGTTGAAATCTCGACAAGCCAGAGAGATGTCCACTCTATAGAGCATCCATCACAGGATATCTCACCTGCCACCCATTTGCAGGATGAATTCCGGCAGTGCAGCCCTGTGGAAAAAGCGTGACACTTTTTCTTTACGCGTGGTTTATCAGGTTATTGGGGAGTAATATACGAGTGGTTAATCTCCGCCCGCATTCTTCACTTTTCCAGGTTGTCTTGTCAACAGCATTGAAGTAAGTACCAATGCGGTTCTCTCCACTGAGATCATAAACATGGTCGAGCCAACAAAGAACAACTGGCATAGCGAATTTTTGATTTGAAAATGATGAGAACTCTAACCATCCTCTACGTATCACAAGTTTGGGTTTATGAAAGAAAAAGAATAAAATGTATGCTGATTGGTTTGTTCGAATACTCTCGAGATGATAAACAGTCTGTGTTTCGTCTATCGTCGTTCCGCATAAGTTGCCGTGCAGACGTTTGGTATTATGAAGAACTGTCGAAAGAAATACGGGCCATCATACCGCTAGACCAAGAAGGCACCATGGGTGACATTCTTAGTCTATACTTCTTGTTTGACAAGAACTTTGCTCCAACACTGGGCAAATGAAGGCAGCAGCGACCTGGGTAAGTAGCAATCAAAGACCCGTCTTTCCAGCTACAAAGAGGTCACCTGTAGTTCTCTATCAAGCTATGTACAAAGAGATCTGGATTCAGGCATGTCTCTGAGGGAAAATTTGCCTGTGAAGACAGGGCCGAGTTCGGTATATACGTAGGTGGTTCCGTACCCGGCCGTAAAAACAATCGGAAGAAGAGCCTCGGCTCGTCATCCCTAGGCCCAAAGATGATGCTCAGCATCTGTCTACGCACCCAGCAAAGATCACCTCTCGCAGATTTGGTCTCAGACAGATGGAACAAGTGCTCCTCAATTGTTTCGCCCGTGGTCCGATCTAGCCCTGTAAGATGAATCTCCACCCGGTGCCGTAGCCTAACCGGAACCAATGCCGACGTATAGAGTAACATGTCGTCGGTCGCTTTTGCATCACACATTGGACCAAACGCCAGCGATATGCCCGCTTGATCTGCATCCATAGAGCGCACAAGAGCAAGCTTGGCTAAATACGTCAAGAATCAGACAACTTACAGTAATTCTGTCTTGTTGCGTGTGGCTGTTCTTAATTGCCTAAAGCGAGAAACATATTTTTTCCATGCTCCACCACTCAAAGCGAGAATCAAGGTGAGGATAAAAAATCAATCATACAGCAAGGCCGGATAGATACAAAATTGCTTAGACAATGTGATTCCAAAAGCCATAGACTTTATCGCTCAATCCTTTTGCCTTACAGATTTCCTTTTTACTTCTTCATGCTTCTTTCTATCGTTAGTGATAGTGCTAAATAATAGGGCGTAAAAAGAGCCTTAAATGAAATCATCTATTCAATACATCCAATTAGACCTCGCCCAAACCCGCGGGTAGACGGGTTAGACCCGACCCGTACCCGTTTCTTGGCGGGTTTTGGGTCGAGGGTATAGAACCGAAGGTCGGGTACGGGTTGAGATATTGAATCCGCGGGTTACCCGGGGATTACCCACGGGTTGATAAACAATGCAAATATGAAGAACCTCTTGATATGCATATATTATGCATTTCTGGGCTATATTTATAGGTATCTAGCTTATAGGTAGTGGATTCTTGCAGAAATAAGGTCGAGGATAACTATGAATGTCTTTAATTCTAGAACTAAACTAATAAACTATGAACTAATCATTATTATACCGCGAACGCTTCCTAGATCTTCCTGAGATACGCTATTGTGTCTCCGGTAGAGGAACATCTTCCTCCTCGTTACTATCTCTATAGCCTTTAGTGTCTCGTTTAGATGTAGTACTCTTTCTTCTCTTTCTAAGAGCACGTTTCGAGGGACCTTACGTTGCTGATTGCGCTTGAATAAGGACTAAACCCTCCTGTGTATCGTCCTTATCACTCTCCTTATCGTTACTAATTGGGTCGACGGTACCCTCGAGTTGTTGGGTATCTTTCTCTTTATGATCCGCTTCTATCTCCCCTTTAGAAAGATACTCCTTCCGAAAAGTAATTCTATCCTCTTCGACTTTAAATTACGTCGTATACCTATATAATATAAGCTCCTGAATTGTTGTAGTATTTAGTGAGCCTCGACGATAGTGATAGATATCCCGAGTAGTGTTAAATAGCCGCTTAACGCCGGCGCTAGTTGTAGGAATTGAGAGTATATCGCGTGCGAGCTTTATAAGCGTAGGGAATGTGGTCTAGTTCTCCTTCTAGAACGCCCGTATTGGAATACTAGAAACGGTGGCTAAGATATATTTATTAGTATAGGTCCGGTGATTGATAGAATAAGGATACTTACCACTATCGAGATATCTTGTAAGCTCGTCCTGCTAGCTAGCCTGGATAATCTGATCTAGGCTAATTATCCGATTAAGATCTATACCTATACTCTGCGTAGTAGATCTTTTACCGTTCCCTATCTATTCTTCTGATAGACGTTACTTATATAGTTCAAAGTGGTCTATAAAGCTTTATCGATATCTAGTGAGCTACTTAGGGCCCTAATCTTTACTCCGGAAGAACTGGAGCTTATATTATGGTACGAGTATTATACTAATAGTAAAGATATTACTAGGAATATTATCCGTCTTACTATAGTACTGCCTAAGCTTTTCCTCCGCCGTACGAAGAGCGGTAAGTATAAGCTTCTTCTAGCCTACCTTCTTGCTTATAAGCTACTTAATCGACTTCTTAAGATGATCGAAGAGCTTATTATAGATAGTAAAAATAAGATAGACGGTGATATCTTTGGTTTTCGATAGCGTAGTAGTGAACTGGAAGAACGGCCGCGTGATCTAAAGTAAATAGTTAATCTAACGCTATTGCTCCTGGTTAAGCTTAAGATACGGATAGCCGTACTTCGAGTAAAACTTATCTAAGACGGATTATAGTCGTTTGGTACGGCGAAGTATTAGAAACGTCGAATTCTACCGCGTACGAATATCCTATATCGGAATAAGAGCTATAGAATCTGTCTAGAGGCTGCAGAAAGCTTCACGGCGCTGTGGGCTTACGTTGATGAAGATAGCTAAGCTTCGAAGCTATAAAAATAGATTAGAAGTAAGTTTTAATAAGTCTAATAGTGACGAACCTTATTTAAAGTGTTAATGATCTCCCGTTTCTGATACCTAGACCGAATTAATTAGTCCTAGGATTTAGTCTATTATATTTAAGTAGTGTCGTTTATTGGATTTACCTTTATCTAACCTAGGAGTTGCTTTAAGCTTAGTTAAATAATATGGGTAATGTATGGAACGCGAATAATCTCTATATTATCGCTAAGGTTAAGGGACTAGATAGTCTCTTAGATACTCGCTAATAAAGTGTTATTATTCGATGTATTATCGGTAGTGAATGTAAGTACTCGATCGGTTAAATTATACTTCTGTAGTAGCTAGAACAGAATAGCGCTAAGGTTAATACCTAAGTGTGTTCTATAAAGAGGCTTAAATCTAAGAAGTAGCTCCCGATAATTCTAGTCTTTATTAAGGAAGTAGCCCGTAACTACCAAAAATGCCTACTAGAAAGGAGATATCTAATAGTCGAGGGTAATTGAAATTTTTCTATCCTTAGGGAGCTTCTGTAGTATATTCTAATAGTATTCGAGCACCGTATTTCGTAGCCGGCTCCGTACTACCTTTGTAGATAGAATATTAAGCTACCTTAGGGCATTTTGGGCTATAGATATTATATCACGGAACCCTAGATGCTCTAGAAGCTAGAAGGGTAGCCTCGATTTAGTAATAAATCGAAGAAGACTTAATTCCTATTTTTCCTAGCTAAATAGAGTATCGACTAAAGGGCTCCGCGCCTATAGAAGTAGTCGAAATTAGTGTGTATCCTATAGCCTATAGACTAACGGGCTAGCTTACCGCTTATATAAATTGCCTAATATTTTGGCTTTTTGGCTTCCTACTATAGCTAGTAGTATGTTTCTTTATCGTTGAAGTTCTATTTCTAAGCCCTGGGTGATTAAGGATAGCCTTATAATACTTATATATAACCTTTAGCGCGCTATTACTAGCCCTAGCTACCTGATTAAAGTGGTCCTAAACGTCGGAAGAGTGTCGCGAGTCCTAGCGTATACGCTTCTTCCTTCCGAAGTCCGTTTGTAGCTACTATTATATATAGTCGTCGCTTATTATTTTAGAGTAGACTACGTATATAGTGATACGATTAGGTCGAACGCTCTCGAGGGAACTAGGTACCGGGGGCGAAGATAATCCTGATCGAATAAAACTAGAATCGCCTATAGAGCTCGCGATAAAAGGGAAGTTTCGTTAGCTAATCGATAGATTAGGGGTTAGATCGTCCGATCGGAGTAGTTAAAAGTTATCTAGAAGGTCTATATTATACGAAGATAATGCGGAGGCATTAGTGAATTAAGATATCTAGTAATATGCTAATTAACGAGCACTTAGCTAAGGATAGTTAGAGACTTAGAAGACTTACAAAAAAATCTTAGCGCGTAGACGTAGATTCTAGGGCCTCGTAATACCCTGTTCTTCTGAAGTGAAAAAGATAATATATTAATAAAGGCCTATATAGATAGATAAAAGCTATTATTATTAGCTTATAGCCTATATATAGGATAGGTAACCCGCGGGTTACTCGCTAAGAACCTATAAACCCGCGGGTAACCCGTGGGTAACCCGTTTTCCTTAAACAATTTCGTTCTAAGTCTTTAATTAAGGTAAAATCTATCCACTTTTTCGTAATTAATAACCTGAATAAGATAAAAGAGTACTCGATTGGTTGACGTATAGATTAATAAATATACGCTAATTGTTTTGAGACTAAATAATCCCTCGTAAGTCGTAGGATTAAAGAGATATTAGAATTCTATATTATCCTTGCAAAAATATACGTACTTCACTCTATAGTTTATAATATATTTCCGCACTTCTAACGATAGAGTTTTGATCTATATTAGTTTTTAAAACCATAATAATATTATACAGTCGTTAAAGCAAAATATATAATATTACTGCTATTGATTAAAAATAAAACCGGCTAATTTCTTAATCTTTTATAGAGAAAAGAGGGTTTTGTTAGTTAGAACCACAGAGGTAACTAGAATAGATATAAATAACAGTATTTTTGTTATGATATCCTGATATTGAGGTTATTCGCAGACTGATGCCCCAGGCCGCACGAGGCCCGGGCGTTCTGCCAAGAGGGTGCCGACCCGGCGGTCAGTCGACAGCTCCTCGGTGGCGTATCTAAAGGGCTACCCTGTCGGTAGGCCACGTTAGCTGGTTACACAACCTTTCAGCTCATACACGCTCATACCGTGGTTACCCCTCTTCTAGTTCCCTATTTTGTATGAGAGACTGTATATAAATTTGGGACCTTGAGGAGTAGGTTCAGACTCCTCAAGAAACAGTCTTGCCACGAATTTCACTAGGTGCTTCCAACCTTACCTGATCAACAGGTTTTCTACCCTGCAAGTAGTTATCTTTACAATTCTGTTTCTTCCTCTTTGATCACCTAAGGAAGGATGTCACCTCGAACTCGTTCGACGCCCGCCGGCGAAACAGAGCCGAATCTCCCACGGACTATCGAAGATTCGCAGACTGTTATCGAGGGAACCCCTTCTAACGAGGACGTTGACGCAGCGCTCGCGGCGATTCAGGAACGCGTTAGAAAGCTCCAAAAAATCAAGGAGCTTAACGAGCAAGCTACGAACCTCATGTCAGCCCTCGGCGAATCTATGCCGGATACCCACCGAGGACAAAGCGAATCTCCTGATTGGCACAAGGAAATCAAATTCGAAAACGTGCCAACCTTCGAACTCGAATACAACCTTCAGAAGCGGCATGAGTGGCTCCTCGACCTACAACAGATGTTCGCAGGAGCCCCAAAGAAATACTATAGCGACGAAAGAAAGATCATCGGCGCTGTATGCCATATGTGCCAAACCTATAGGCAGAGGTGGTACCGAACCTGTACCGAAAAAAGGGAGGTTGAACGCCGAAACGTCACCAATGACTGGCTCTTCTTCCAGGAGTGGACCCTAAGCCTTATCAAAAACGCGTCTAGTCTCACAATGGCTATCGCAAAGGAAAAGGAAAATATCCACCAGAGAAAGGACGAGGACCCTAGAGAGTTCCACGCCCGTCTCGATACCCTTGAGCAGTACTTTGAGAGAGCGAGTGAGAAAGAAAGGGCCCGATCCTTCTTCGTTAAACTACAACACTCCCTTCAGCTTCGAATCCAGGACCATGTACGAGAACTTCCCGAGACACGTGAGGAAGTTGTCAACACGGCAAACCATTACTGGGACCTCATGAAAACAAATTCGGACCGGGGAAACACAAACGAAACCAAGCCGAATCATCTCCGAAAGCGTAAGGCTCCTCCGGATGAACCCCAGGGACCGGAAAAGAAAACCTACAAGAACCGTCAAAACAATCGGAGACGTCAAGAGTCCTCAACGAACAACAACCTAAACCCTATCGGAAGGGATGGAAAACGCAATGTGTGCCACATCTGCGGAAGCGATACGCATTACTCTCCTGACTGCCCCGACCGAAAGGACCCTAAGGAAAAGCCAAAGGTCCAGATAGCAACAACCGCGGGAAACGACAGCGAGACGGAGTAGATCCCCATTCTTCGTCTCAAAAGCCTACCGTGGGGACCAGAACTCGTTTCTATATACCGATTACCATCCGAAACACTCTCGAAACCCATGCGGATCTTGACAGTGGAGCTGAAGTTGACCTCGTTAGCTTCGAATTCGTCAGGAAGTATAGGCTCCAGCCAGCAAAGCTTACCGAACCGATAATCCGCGCAATTAACCGACGAAACACTCCGACATATGGTGTGTGGTCAGTCCCCCTGAAGGCTACCGATTCTCGAGGGATTACCCGCCGATTCACACGCCCTTGTGTCGCTATTGATCGCGACCCCCGCCTTACTGGTAGTCCAGTACTCCTCTCAATGACGACAATACACGACGAGGATATATATCTCGCGGGCCGCCTTAGGCGATGGTGGTTCGGGAACGGATCCTTTGAAGTTTTAACACCGAAACGCTTCGCGAGGGCCGCACAAAGGCATGCGTACGTCTTCGCCGTGGTAAAAATGCCTGAGGAAATATGGCTACCAGTCGATGGAAACGATACCGAACCTCCGTCGAAACCTTATCTACAATATCCCGAACTAGAACCCTTCCACGAATTCTTCTCCTCTGAAAACGCACAAGCACTACCCCCTTCAAGTGCACACGACCACGCCATCGACCTACTCTCCGACACCCAGGTGCCCTTTGGACCAATCTACCCACTTTCTCAGAAAGAACTTACTGAACTACGCCGTTACCTCGACGAAAACCTTAAGAATGGTCGTATCCGCGAATCAAAGAGTCCCGCCGGAGCCCCAATCCTCTTCGTTCCAAAATCGGACGGAAGTCTACGCCTTTGTGTTGACTACCGGGGACTCAACAAGGTTTCGGTGAAGAACCGGTACCCTTTACCCTTGATTTCGGAGATCCTTGACCGTCTCTCGGGTGCAAAATATTTCAGCAAGATCGATATCAAAGATGCTTACTACCGCATCCGCATAAAGGAGGGCGATGAGTGGAAGACTGCCTTCCGAACCCGATACGGCCACTACGAATACACCGTTATACCCTTCGGCCTAACTAATGCACCCGCAACTTTCCAAAATTACATTCATACCGCCCTTCACGACGTTCTCGATATCTTTGCGGTAGCGTATCTTGACGATGTCCTTATCTTTTCGACCGACCGCCAATCCCATACAGAACACCTACACTAGGTTATCTCCCGTCTCCAAAAGGCAGGACTGTATGCAAAACCTAGCAAGTGCCTCTTCTACCAGGACGAGGTCGAATTCCTTGGATTTATCATCTCTACCCAAGGCGTTTCGATGGACCCTCAGCGGGTATTCGATATCGTTTCGTGGGAGCTTCCACGAACATACCGAGATATCCAGGTCTTCCTAGGATTTTGCAACTTCTACCGGCGCTTCATCCGTAACTACTCCGAGATTGCACTTCCCCTAACGGCCTTGCTAAAGGGAAGTAAGAACGGCCGAAAACCAGGGAGTGTGAAGCTAGACCTTCGCGAAAAGCTAGCGTTCCGCCGCCTAATCGCTGCCTTCCAGTTAGCTCCCCTTCTTCGCCATTTCGACCCTTCGAGGCAAATTCGGATCGAGACCGATGCGTCAAACGGTGCGATGGCTGGGATCCTCTCCCAACCAGATGATAATGAAGTCTGGCACCTAGTGGCCTTCTGGTCGAGGAAATTCACCGAGGCAGAGGTCAACTATGGAACGCCGGATCAGGAGCTATTCGCTATCGTATACTCGTTTAAACACTGGCGACACTACCTTGAGGGAAGTACACATCCAATCGAGGTCTTTTCAGATCACTCAAACCTCCAATCCTTTATGAAGCAGCCAAAGCTAAATGGTAGACAGGCGAGATGGTGCCTATCTCTTACACCTTTTGATTTTATTATCAAACATCGCGCTGGGAAGACCAACCCTGCGGATGGACCATCTAGGCGTTGGCTGCCTGAAGCCCCTAAGGTTGACCTGATTACGCCGTTGTGCCAACGAATGGCCGGCGAATCGCAGGCGACTGATCACCGCTCTGTCAGGGTCCAGTCGCTGACTGTGAGAGATCTCACTTTGGGCATCCCCTGTTTCGAAGAAAACGAGCAGGGTGATAAATCGATTGGAAGAATCGATTGGGAGGAGCTAGGCCGTTCGCGGTTAGTCCTCCCTGCGTAAGTGCAGACCGCTTGTGCTTCCGAGAAGGCCTACTCCGCTGAAGCGTGTGAGGACCTAAAGGAATTGATCGGGCGTCTTCAAGACGAAGACCTCGAGACCCAGCGCCGAAAAGCTGCCGTAGAGCAGGCGAAACGCGGTTTCATGGGCTGGAAGATCGGACACGATAAGCTCCTCCGATATAAAGACCGAGTGTATGTCCCTGCGGGGAGTAACCTACGGCAAGAGTTAGTGAGCATTCACCACGACGACCCTATTGCAGGCCATTTCGGCCGAACCAGGACCCTTGAACTGGTTAAACGTAAATATCACTGGCCGAATCTGCACCGAGACGTTGTCGAATACGTGCAGAATTGCCAGGTATGTCAAGGAGTAGTAGCACGAAGGCATAAGCCCTACGGCGAATTGCAACCACTCCCTATCCCGTCTAGACCCTTCGTGGAAATTTCAATGGACTTTGTGACTGGCCTGCCACCGGTGACCCTTAACGAAAAGACTGTGGATGCAATCCTTGTTATCGTCGATAGGTTCACGAAATGGTCGCTATTCCTCCCCGTATCTACCACGATCACGGCGGGAGAACTCGCAGAACTAGTCCATAACGAGGTCGAATTACGTTTCGGCCCTCCCGACGGGATTGTTTCCGATCGAGGATCAGTTTTCACAAGCAAGTTCTGGTCAAAGCTATGTTACATTACCCAAGTGCGCCTAAGGCTTTCAACGGCGTTTCACCCCTAAACCGATGGCCAAACGGAACGCGTTAACCAAACACTTGAGCACTACCTACGATGTTTCATCGGTGACGAACAGCCTAGCTGGCCAAAGCTGCTCAAATCTGCCGAATTTGCGTGTAATAACGCTGTCAATGCCACAACCGGTGTCTCACCCTTTCAAGCACTTCTTGGTTACTCACCAGACTTCCGTCAACGAATCGAGGACGATCCGGCATTGAGGGAGGTACCCGCGGTATCCGCACGAGTAGAGAAGCTTGAAAAACTCCGCATAAAGCTGAAGACCCACTGGCGAAATGCAGTCGAAACTATAGCGAAACACTATAATAAGAATCACAAACCCCTAACACTGAAGAAAGGATCGCTCGTCGGCCTCTCAACAAAGAACTTGAAGCTAAAGGGAAGCAAGAAGTTAACCCCGCGCTTCATCGGGCCCTTCCGGGTTATTGAGACGATTGGTCAGCAGGCCTACCGCCTAAGTCTACCCGAACAATACAGCCGAATCCACAACGTCTTTCATATATCCCTTCTTGAACCATGGCAGAAGACCCACATTACTACTACCGAATCAATGCCGTTACCACAGCTCGAGGATAGCGAAGAATACGAGGTAGAGGAGGTCCGCGATGAACGAAAGATCTCTAACGAAACCCACTTCCTCGTGAAATGGAAAGGATGGCCCTCTGAATACAACCAATGGGTATCCCACGAAGATATGGAGAACGCTACAGAAGTAATACAATCCTATAGGAAGCGACAAAAGGGGAAACGCTCTGAATTCAATACCGGAAGAAACCAGCGAAAACCCCTCGAACCGCAGACTAAAACAAGAAGATTTCCTCGCAATAAGAAACTGTAAGGTCAGCCACGAAGCTGGGTTCCACCGGAAACAAGACGCGAGCGTCAAACATCAGCACCCACAGCAACAAAGCCGCCACCAAGGAACGCAACGAACCACCAGCGAAACCATAACGAAACTACCTAGCCTCGCTAGGTAAAGGAAGGGCAAAAGGCAACTCTAGATCCGCTCCAGGGACAGAGGGAAATCAATCATTGTCCGCTCCTCCAACTCATCTCCGCCGATGGAGGCATTATCATCCGCATCCGAATCAAGGTCATCCTGGGCCTCGCGAACCGCCTCCGAAATGCCATCGAAAAAGGCCCGTTTTCCGATTGTCCAAGTGATGTATCCCTCGTCGCCGGGAAGCAGGCGAAGGAGTCGCTTAGAGAAGCGCTCTGCCTTCTCCCTAGCAGTATCAAAGGGACCAGGGGGCAGGACAACAGGAAGCCCAGTCCGACGGACCGCGAGAAGCGCATCGTATTCGTCTTGGGTTTGCTACCGAAACACTAGTTAGAACGCGCCGAAACCCGCGACCTATGGATCCTACCTTGATATTGGTCTTAGTCCCGGTTAACTTGTACTGCTTACGGTGAGCCTGCTCCGAAACGTCGAAGCAATGCGCCAGATCCCTCATCAATTCGGCGACCTTTCGGCGGAGCTCCGAGGGATAGGGCCAGTCCAGGAAATTATCCGGGTCGTCCGGGTCTATCTGCGATGTCCAGAACAGGTCCCGGGCCCATGCAAACGCGGTACTCATATCCTGACAATCCCCCAACATAGCGGTTGCAGCCTGTGGAATCATTAGCCTATACCCTCAAGGAAACTTGGCGAAACCCACAGGAATACACGTCGAAGCGCGAGAGGAACACTGGCTACACGCAACCGAAGCCTTGGCGTCCTGGACACATTCGATGGAAAAGGGCCAGTCTTCACGGGGATCCCAGTCGATAATCGCGGTGCGGACACAGTGCATACACCAGAGGATCATCAGGTAGACCGGGTTGTCCGCAAGGGGACGAGTCCCGGCGCGGGGTCGTCGAGGCATCGTGGGGGTTTCCAAACCAAATCGAGGGGTATTCGTTGGCGAAAAGGCGCGTGGTTATGAGGTCTTGGAAAGGGGGAGAAAGTTGGTAGAGGTGTGAAAGAGGAAGGGGAACGAGAAGGAGAGGGGGTCTCTTTGTAAACAAAGAAACGCGATATCTTTGTTTGCCCTATCCCACCAGTTACCCTTTCTGCCTATCCACCTCTGATTGGCTACTCCGCTACGTGGTTGGT